GCAGTCCATCCCATGCGGTCTGGGGAGGAAGTACTGTACTGTGTACACACTGTAAGTGGGTAATACATCTTGACAAGAGGCGTTTGACCCTCGACTCTCAAGCCCGCTGGGTAATTCCCCACCAACCCTGGAGACTAGAAGGTCATGTAGCGGGAAAAGAAACGGTGTCAAACACCCCACCGTCGACAAACACAGATAGATATCCCAGGACTAGGACCAGGGGTGTAGTGATGGACCGCTGGATCCAAACGTGCGTTTCGAACTTTTGGGTCTAGTGCTGCACAAGCCCCCTCGGGCTTTTGGCTTCTGGCTGTTGACTTCGCGGATGTCGGAATGTATGCAGGGAGGAATGGGTATGGTTGGTGCGATGGGTTGGTGAGGGATGGGGATGGGGATGGGAATGGGAATGGGGGGTCTGGACTGCACTTGCACGGCACGTTGGGTTAGTTCAAGGTAACTTGGCTTGTGCGTGGGCGGGCAGCGGCTATTAGCATAGGGCGTGCGGAGTACCCTGTATAGCGTATCGAGACTTAGTCTTAATGATGATGCCGCATGAGAGGAGAGGGGGGGGGGGGGGTTTCTTGGGGTAGAATATGTACAGTACCCAGCACTAGGTGAAGGTGGTTGGTTGGTTGGTTTTTTGGCAGGTTGAGTTGGATCAGATTGGGGACTACCGGCATCTATCATGGATGGATACTTAGGTAGGGATGAAGTTCTCAGGCTCCGTACCAAAGACTAAATCCTTAGGATTGGAGTATCTTCTGGTAAAGTTGATTGGGTTCTCGGGTCAGATAGTCTACTGCATTGAGGTGCATAAGTTAGGGTCTATGCCTACGTAGTTAGGGGTTTAGTTGGAACTGTGCCGTGGGTAAGGTGGGTTCTGATGGCCGCTGGATTCGAGAAGTACGATTGCGCCAATGTTGCTGGCCCTGTTGCTGGTGTGCCGAAACATTGGAAGGTCTACGCTGTACAGTACTGGATATACTTGGAGGTCAATTGATGACTAGGGCTCAGGGTAAGGGCATGCATCTGTCACCCACACAATGCTACATACCTCCCTCCCACATCTTATGGCCAGAATTCCAGTCGCGAGTGCGCGCGCGCGTGAGATCGGCATGTGGCCGGGATTCGAAGTAAACACGGCTGATGAATGGCGACGGAGGATCGCGTTTGAAACCACGACACCAAAGGAGGAGGGTGGTCTCTTGGCATCGGTCGGCTGCAGAGGAGATCTGTACACATCGGAGTGAGATACAGCCAGATAGGCATAGCTGAAGGGCCCCTCAATTGGCTTGTCGCAGTCAGATGGATAGTCCAATCAACAAGCAAGTGTCGGCAGGTGTGACCTGAGAACGAGAGTGGTGGTGGTCGTTGTATTATTTGGCTGGCTGTGTACGGAGTGGGGAGTTCTCCGTATTGTATGTACATTACCGTACGGACATACTTAGTAGTAGATATTGTAGACAAACACCACCACAACAATAACAACAGTCAATTCTAGATCTCCGGCTCCGAGAAACAAGCAAGGGACGGTGAAAAGTGAAAACTCTGCCGGTGGAGACCTGGGCGGTGGGTGGAGTGGGAAAAAACATGTTAATTTGTATTTAGCTCTAGTAGTGCTCTGTGCTCTGTGAGCTGTGCCGTGTTCTTTCTTTCTTTCCAGAGAACTTCTATTTTCAGTCTGTGCTTTGATTGAATAGATGAATGCTGAATGGTTGGGAACAGTGACGGGAATTGCAGGTCACATTCGCGCTTGTGATGACCCCCTCCCCTCCCCCCGGTCTGACTATCAATCAGTAGTATTCTATAGTATGTAGGCGCTAGTTGGCTGCTAGCAGCTCTCTTCCGGAGAGGAAATCACTGCTGCTGCTCGGGATAATTCTTGAATGCATTGGGACCGTTGGCGCTGCGCAAGCCGGAGTTTCCTCTCAGTGCCCGGTGACTGACTGTCTACTTAGTACGGAGACTTAATGTACTAGGTAGATACTTCCTGAGTCGATCAGCTCTTGTGCACCCACCGGACCCTCGTCCCGCGTCCGCGTCTCCGTTGCCCGTCCAATGGGTGGAGCCAGTGCCGCGATGGCGTTTATCGCATTCTCTGAAAGCGAGTAAATGTTGGAGTTGGACCCAGCAAGCGAGACATCTCTCAAAGACAAGAGACATCTCCATCTTCCTTTATCGCTCGTACCGGGACCTCTCCGATAGACGCCACCACGTAACCATGATCACATCTGGGCTTTGACCTGCTTTTGGACCCCGAGCGCCATGTGCAACCAGACACCCAAGAGAAAAAGGGCTGCCTATCTATCTGCCAGGGGTTGTCGGACATAACTGGCTGCGCAACTCCGATTGCGTAGCGTTCTCACTCGCCCCGGGGGTGAAGACTCTTAGCAGCTCTGTGCTATTGGACAGGATCTGAGCCAGTCGGGATTGATATTAAGATAGTCACTAAGCCATGGCTCGAATCATGGTGGGGCAGAAGGGAAGAAGTACTGTAAGTTACTCTTCTCGGTAGTGTAGGGCACTGTAACCTGCGATTTTGCAACCCTCGTTTGCGGTCCAGCCTGCATGGGGGGGGGGGGGGGGGCGCCCTTAGCCCTATCACATTCGCGCCTCGACCAGGCCTGTCAGAAACCGAGATTCTGAGTCTGGAGTACGCGGAGTACTTTACACAGTACAACACAGGATACTGTATGCAGTTTCCAATCGCCCCGGTCTCAACTCAGATACCTTTTCCATCCGAACTTCACACCTGTTTATTTGCTTCTTTTTTCTTCTCGAAAAAAAGAAAAACAGGAAAAGCAGGGATCTGCCCGGCCGGAGAATTAATTGTGAAAGGAGGGTCCTTTTTTTTAGACTCCCGCGCTCAACTGTGCAAATTGCGGTCTGTCCAACCGTATGGGTGGTTGCTGCCCAGCTGCTGGGCGGCAGCGGTAACGCCCATCCACCATAACCAAAAAAAAACTCCCAAGTTGCCCAACATTTTAACTCAACTACACTACACCACTAGTGCTCGTGGCCACAACAGGAGATATCCATGCCATTAGGTTCCACCGGGCTGGAAATGCCTGCCTACCTGGAGTTATGTATCCATGGTTTGTCGACCGGTTGACGGGCTCATCCGCACCCGCTGTCCATGGAACCAAACCAACCCAAACGATAAGACGCTCTACAGGATCTTACAGCAGTAGTGGCTTCGGACTATCTCTATTTACAGCAATCGACTAATCGATCCCACGTACTTTCGATCCTTTGCAATTTTTCATTAATCTAATGATGTGACACCAAGTTATAAGACTTGGTGGTTGCGCGACAGCGTCATCTTCGCCACAGCCTGCCTGCAGTTGAATATAGAAGCCTTGGGGCTGATGCTGAGAAGAGATGGCTGACTGTTATTATCAACGCTTAACTTACTTACTCGACGATTATGACTGAGCCACCCGTGGCAATGTGATCTCTCCATGACTCATTGACTCATTGGCATACCGGACAACTGAATGAAGGACTATCGACTGGATCGGCTCGCCAGCTCCATCGCGTTGCCTGCAGGCTCCAACGGTAGGGTAATGTACGTACATCGGATGCCATGCGGGAAATCCCCAGCCATGTTGGACGAAGCGTCCAGCCAATGACGCAGAGCGTGACTCTTATCTACAAGGTGATGAGGGTTCGAACATCTCACTGTTCGCCATGTACGGCCATGTTGACGCGAATGAGTGGAGGGGCGGATTCTGCTCTGCTGCGCTGCGCTGCGCTGCTCTGTTGCGGCAACAAACATCTTGTTCTTCCTTCGTCGTGTTTCAGCAACGTCAATCAGGATGGGAGGGGAGAGGGGATGCCCAACAGGGGATTGATCGTATGTCTACCTAGTAGCAAGTAAGTTAATAGAGGGATTGTTCAGATGACTCTGTCCCACGGGAGCCCTGTCGCCATGATGAGTAAGAGTCAGCGAGTGGCAGGCATGGAGAGTGACCGCAGTGCGCAATGTGGGCGGCAATTCTGCGCATTTCATTCATTCATTCATGTAATCATCCATTCCCCCCTCCTTGGGAGTGTATATAAGGGAGCAGTACTCTCCACCTGATCACCTTGGTAGGATTCTGGAAAAGAGGGTGTAGTGGGTGATGACTCTGGAAATGAGCTGGAAGGTGATCAGCTTCTTCTTCTCATAGCAACAGCAGCAGCAGCAAATTCTAAAACTCAGTGCAGCATCACTCTGGTTTCAGTTTGGTGTTTCTTCCTCCCCTCCCATTCCGTTCCATTTCCTCCCTTTCTCTCCCTCCCTCCCTCTCCCTCTTGGGAGTGGGAGTTTGTTGGGCCTGAAACGCGCCCAAGGCACCCATCCCTCCCTCCATCATCACCACCACCACCACATAAGATACGGTATTGTAAAGCCGAGAACGAAACGGGAACAAACGCAAGAGGTCACTTTTTGCTGTCTCCACCCCCAAAGCGAGACTAAGACACTAAAGACTAGTGGCTCCGCCGCAGAAAATTACCACTTGGTGCAGCCCCCACTTGCAAGTCCACCAAGTCCACCCTTGCAATTCTGTCCCGTGGTTACAAAACCGGTTGTCTCCTCCACTCCCTCTGGGCTCCCCCCCTTGAAATCATTTATCCATCCATCCACCATTCATACACCCTGTTCGGGTTCAACCTCTACAACTACAACTACTACTACTACTACAACATCAACAACAACAATAATCTGGGTTAGATGAACGAAGTCTAAGCGATTCAAGCGAGTCTCAACCGCTGTCTGCGCTTGTTCGCCACTCTTGTCGCGGACTCCGATAGAGTCTTCTAGGGACCACAGGTTGCTTCTCTGCATAGCCGCCTTCAACAACTTCGCCCGTTCAGCGTTCGATAGAGCGAACGACGTTCAAATGCACTCTCGGCACATACAGCTCTATCCCTCCTCTCCCTCAGAAACCGCACCACGGTGACGGTTCTCTCCCATCAATCTTCCGATTTCGTTGTCCCCTGCTTCGGCGTCGATCGGCTTGTTGCTACGATATCCTGTATAATACATCTGGGTTGTGCTGTTTCTGTTCTTGCCTCTAATATCTCGCGATCGGGAGGTTATCCCCTACGTTCGAAAAGTTCTCTCGTCCACGACCTGTTTTTGATTGCCAGCGTGATTCGAATTCCTATGCACGTTTCTCGATAATGTATCACTACACCACTCCACCTCCCGGGTGGTCCTACGACTATACGACCTCTCCTCCCACGTCTCCTCACTACGCCTACTACGCGTCCCCCTTCGCCAATGCTTACGGCTCGCCGCGCGGCCCTTCGAAGCGTCACAACCGCAAAGCCAGCTACGCCGGTCCCAAAGAAACCGCCGGATGGTATGCTGGGTATGGGCAAGGATTCTACGAAGCGATGCCAGAATATGGCACGCCACCGCGCAAGCACGATCCTGTAAGTGCTTCTTTTGGTGGCTATTCTCGTCGTCGCAGCACCATGTCCGGGGCCCCAGCGGCGGGCCCTTGGGAACATGCCGGCGCCCACCCGTCGCACCCGTCGCACACCCGGCCCATCTTTGTGGATGTGGTCGACGATGGATCCGACGGTGATGCGCCGCGATACGTCTTCCGCGAGGAACCCAGTCCTCCGCGTCGCAAACCGTCGACGTCTCACCGCAAGCCCAAGCCACCCACTGATCAGTACTTCTACTATAACCAGGTGCCTGCCCAAGAAGACGCTGATGCGGCCAAGCGATCTCGGGCGCGCCGTCAATCCACTTCCACCCGCACGCCCAACAAGCCAAAGCCGTCCGCTCCCACCTCCAAGCCGGCCCCCAAAGCCACAGAAGCCGACGCTGCCCGAGCAGGGATCCCCCCGGGCTACTCGATCAAGAACTGGGACCCGACGGAGATGCCGATCATTCTTCTGGGCAGTGTCTTCGACGCGAACTCACTGGGCAAGTGGATCTACGATTGGACCGTGTTCACGCATGGGGCCTCGACGCCCATGGCGGACGTGGCGGGCGACCTGTGGCTGCTGTTGATCAAATTGGCCGGGAAGGTGAAGAGAGCCGACGAATGTCTCGACCGCATCCGGCGCCCCGAGGCGCAGGAGGTCGTGGAGGATTTCCTGCAGAGTGGGGAACGCCTGTGGGCGCGGTTCAAGAAGCTGCTCAAAACCTGTGAGCAGTTTATGTGGAAGGCGGCCAAGCGGGAAGGGGGCAAGGGCTCTGTGTCGATGGGCCGCAATGCCGGCTGTGAGTTTGTCGAGACGATCTTTGGCCGGGATCGCGAGCTGGAGAGTACGGAGAAGCTGATGAACAGCATCCGTTTGTGGAACATGCGGTTTGACGCCAACTGCGAAGAGATTCTCCGTCGCCCGTCGGCTGCCTAGGTTTCTTTCTACTGCGACTGCGACTACGACTCTTAAAAGCAATATCTGATTTGTTTGTTCTGGTTTTTTTGTGGTATTTACACGGGAGCTTTTGACAGCACTATCCGCATTACGCAGGATTACAGGATACATGTGCAGTTGTTGCCGACTTACACTGCTTGGATTTAATGGTCGGCTTGCATTTCAGCGCGTTTGGTGACTCCATCTTATTGGTGCATCTTCAGGGTGAACAGTCCCGTCTATCATTCTTACGCGAATTCTTTTTCTGGCTGCGTTCTGGAATTGCCTTTTTTGTTTTCGAAGCATTCAAGCATGACTTCTAATTTCTGGGCTGGGGATTTGTTTTCCTTTGGCGTGCCTTGTTCAGTTTCACACGGCGTAACTGCGAACTCCGCTGCTTGTTGCTGCTGCGATACCTGTGGGCTTTTTTCTTCGTTTCGATCTGTCTTTTTGATGATACCATTCTGCGATCACTGTTTCGCCCCGGGACTGCTGGTTGAATCATTCTTTTTTTTGTGGGACTGGCGGGGTTAGACACCTTAGCCTACATTTACAATCTTTCACCGTTGATAGACATATAGTACAGTATACAACTGATACAATGATTCCTTTGAAGGGTAGCGATGTGATCGTAAGGATTCTAGTCTGCTTACGTAGGTCACACCAAGAAAGCTGTGGTTGCGCCCGCCGTCGTGGTGACGCTCTCGCCTTGGGTTTAGCCCAGCCCTTCAGGTCAGCCCTTCAGGTCAGCCCTTCAGCCCAGCCCTTCAGCCATTGCCCTCAGCCTTAACAGGAACCCTTTCCTGCCTACGTATACAGCAACACCAATGACCCATAGCCCCTGCCCCTCTAACCCCGCCATAAACCCAGAGAGTAAGAGCAAGCCCATGTAAGAAGCATACTCACAGAATGCAAAGGAATGCTCGGAAAGAGTCCCCCCCCGGGCCTCATTCAAGCCGGCAGAATTCCTCTCGCGTGCATGGTCTGCATGCATGCACGCCATGGCCGGCGCCCCCCCGTGTGGCGAAGTTGACCATGTGGGAATGTATGGAAATGATTACTCAGTGGCTGTACCTACCATCTACCACCTCCTACCTCCCGTCCACCTACTTGTACTTGTCCTGCACTGCAAGACATGCACTTCTCATGTACTGCAATTCAGTACATAGTGGATGGTAGGCGGTAGGCGGTTGGTGAGGTCATACTGTTTCTAGGGTATGTGTACAGGCATAGTACTGTACTGTGCTGTACTCGTACGAGAATGGGTGGGAATGTATGATCTCGGAGAATGTGAGTCCACGTGACGGACGGGAATGCTGGGTGTGTGCGTGTTATGCATGCACGGTTATTGTCTGGTATGTACTGAGTTTTTTATGTTTGTAGATTGAGGGAAGGCGGGTTGGCTCTTTTGCTTGGGTCTGGGTGACGTTGATTCTTGTGCTTGCTGGGTACTTGATTTTGGGTTGGATGGGGTGGTGGTGATGATGATGTAGGGTGGTATGTTTGGGGTAAGTGGGTGCGCCCGCGGTCTTTGTTGGATTGTTGTACTGTAACTTACTGTCTGTGTACTTGGGGTAGTGTTTGATCTCTGATGGGCTTGGGTGTGAGGAGTTGAGTGGGTGGGGTTGTGGTTGTGCTATTGTCTTTTCTATTGTCTTCCTAGAAGCTACATGCGTAGTGCAGTGCAGTGCAGTGGTGGAGGTGGTGGAGAGGGGGATGAGGGGTTATCTGTTGGAGGTGGGGAAGGGTCGCGGTCATCGGGACTTCAAAGTTCAATGCGTGGGTGCAATTTAAGTGGGGACCGACGGTACCCGCTAGTATTGGTGGAGGCAAACCTACTTACTTAGCTGGTGGAGAGTGAAACTGGAAGCTAGTGCCGCATCCAGCCAGTTACCCATCCATTCGCCTGCCAGGCTCGCGGCCAGAGCCGGATGCAGGCTGGGGACTGGTACCCGTGACCCTCTTGTGGTGGTTGGCTGGGATGGGTTCTTTGGGTGGACTTCGGTTCAGTGGTGTTGGTGGCTGGGGGGGTGTGGTGGGCGTAGATTTTGTATGTGGGTTGAGGTTTGGTTGTGATGTTTCTGTCTCGGTTGTTGGTGAGAGGTGAGATTTGAGAGGTGAGTGGTGAGTGGTGACCAGGAAGCTGAAAGAAAGGGGGGTCTGGGGGTTCTCCCCCAGATCGTCACATTATAACTTGGACTCGGGGATAGGGTTACTGGGGAGTTGAAAGAAAGGGGGGTCTGGGGGTTCTCCCCCAGATCGTCATATTATAACTGGATGAAATAGTAAGGTAGCATGATTAAAGCGTGGGGAAGCTGTTGTGTGATGCGGGGAGTTCAAGTTAGGGCACTTATTCTAACAGAGGTTGAACGTATAGTAGTGATGAGTACTATAGGGCAGGTGCTGTACGTGGGGATACGGGTGGGCATGTGTAGATAGGATAATGTATAGGTAGCTTCATATTGTGGCCCGTTTAAGTAATTGCACTCTTGAGAGGTACTTGGACGAATTGTTACGTAGGTAGTATAGTCTGCCACCAGCAACTTCAGTCTACAGTACACTTTGACTGAATCAACACAAATAATCAACCAAGTAGGAATTCTATCAATGTACTGTATTCACATCTATATCTCAAAACCCACAACATTACTCAATCCGCCAGCTATCTCCCCCCCCTTGACCTCACTCAACCCTTCGTCTCCCCCTTCCAGACCAACCACCCCAACCCAATCACCAACTTCACCCCGGCCGCCATCCACAGCGCCGACTCCATCCCGCCCGAGGTCTTACTCAACCACCCGCCCGCAATCGCCCCGATCAACAGGAACACGACCCCGCCGATGCGGCGGTTGCGCTTCACGTTCCCGTTGGGCACCTGCAGCAGCTTGGGGTCGGAGGCCACGTCGAAGTAGACGCTGGTCAGCACGACCGTTGGGATCTCGTTGTAGCCCAGGGCGCGCGACGAGGTGATCGACCCCGCGGACTGGAACGCCAGCAGCGCGATGGGGATCAGCTCCAGGAACAGCCGGCCGCCGGTCAGCTTGCTGTCCGTCGAGGTGTGCGGGATCAGGTCGGCCTCGATGATGGCCACGGCGATGATGATCAGGATCGTCTGCGCCAGGAAGGAGAGCACCAGAGTGCCCCGCGCGCGGTTGCCGCTGCGTCGCGTCAGGTTGGCGAAGACCAGCGCCCCGATGAAGAACCACCCGATGCTCATGAGGGATTTCAGCCAGCCCCACGGTTTGTTGGCGGGTTGGTTGGAGGCGCCTAGGCCGAGGAAGATGGTGTTTCCTGGGGAATGGATTGGTGTTAGTTAGGGTGAGGGGATAGTGGGGGGAGAGGGGGAAGGGGGAAGGGGGAAGATAAGGTGAGGAGGTAAGAGGGAGGGAGGATGGCGTACCCGTTTGCATGGCTAAGAAACACGACCACGCATTATATGCACTACTGTCGCAGAGCCCCGTGGTGAAGCACAGCAATAAACAGATGAGGTCGGTGTGCTTCGGGTCGACATTCTGGTTCCAGCGCTGGGAGAAGGTGAGCTTCTTCATCTGGGGTTCCGGGTCGGAGGCTTCGAGGTCGCTCCCCTCGGGGGTAGACGAGACGGGGGGCTTCTCAGCCATGAATGTGTGATTTGGGGTAGTAGTTTCTGGTGAATACTACCAACTGATATGGACAGAGAGGAAGAGTCGGGAAATTGGGCCTGCACAACGCCGGCGCCGGGTCTGGGGCAGTCACAGTATTTATCGACGGCGGCGCCGACAACCGGCCTCGGAAGAAAATGTTCAGAGCAAAGTCCGGAGCTGACAGGTAGCCTGGGCGAGAAAAAGTGAAAAAAACATGAACAGTGATGAAGATCGTCTCTCGGCGCACGATGACTAGTTACATCTTGGCCAAACGATAAGACCCGCGGATTGGTCTCTTCCCTGCCTCTTCGCACCAAATGGCAACCCCAAGACTCACCGGGGCGGATTGTCCAGATTGCGCCATTGCCATTAGTCCACTACTGCAGAGTGCAGACTCGTTTAGTCTGTTTCTCTTGGCGCTGCATTGATGTTTCCGTGAGTCAAACAACGGGTGGATGGGGGATGGGAGGAGGAGAGGCGAAGGAGGAGAATCCCGCCAGTTGCTCATTCGATCCACCCGGTCGGATAGGGCTGAATTGAAGTGGAGGATGCAGTCCATGTACAGTCCTGTACAGTCCTGTACTGCACTGTCCGAATGATTGTATGGTATGTAAGCTGGCTGACTGTGAGAAGTGTCATCCACAACTTCAAGGTTCGCAATACATTCCTACCACATCGCACAGAACTTTCCACTCCATCAACATGAAGCAGCCCACCCGGTGAAAGAGAGCGTGGCAATCGGGGCAGTCTGGTCTACCGACAGCGATAGTCCCTTCTAGTCTCCCTCGTGCATCAGCATCCGATCACCAATTATCCATTATTGCTTCTGCACGGCTCGGCGTTTTCTTCACCCTCTGCAGCCTGCAACCGATAGTTAGCCCTATCTCCTGTCTGCCTTACTTTTCTCCAGTCCTATCCTCCGAACCCCAAGCCCTCCGGCGGATTCCGCATTCTTGGCTGCTTATCGTGAATATGCTGGTGGCATCCGTTGGTCCGTCCCGACCCCCGTCTGTTCTCCTCCACACAATGAAATCTGTCAGCCATATGGCATCGGCTCAACCATGGAACTCGCGTTGAATAAAAAGGAGGGAGTTATCCGTGGAACCTGGCGTGAACTGACAGCCGAACCAGAGGGATGTCGTGGCCAGCCCGAGACTGCAACCAATACCTCTCATCGCCAACTCGCGTCATGACCTCACCAATGTGCGGGGAAGCAATCAGCTTCGCAACCACTTCATGAGCCACTCCCTCAAGTCCCAGCGTCATTGTCGCATCATCTGTGCCACCGTGGGCCATATAATCCCCTCGATTCCCACCGTGACCGGCTCTCGGACCTATCCAAAATTAGTGCAATCAGTCTTGGAACCAATATCGAATAACTGTATCATCACTGGTACGCTGGCCGTCCTTCCTGTCTCAGGAGTGCTGCTGTCGACTGTATTGTGGGTATACGGTTTAAGATATCTGCGACTAATTGAGAACAGAAAGATTCTCTACCATGCAGTCCTCAAAAGCTAAAACCACCTCGCGCAT